CCCCCCCCACCACCATCTCTCCCCTAACACTGACATTGGAATTTTGTGTCAATTACCCAATCACTTGCAACGCTTAGTATACAGCTACACCTATACACCTTGACTTCGAATTTGCCATATCATTATTCGCACCTGACTAACCTAGCTCTATTTAACAAATAGACATCAGTTTTTTATGTGTCTGTCCTCTTATTGACGATATATTTTGTCATCACATTACCAAAGTAATGTGGAGTGTGGATCCGCATACTGCTTTGACAATTTGATGACGAAATGACGAAGAGGACAGACACATAAAATACTGATGTCTATTCGTTTTTTTACAATAACAAAAACGATAAAAACTTCTCATTTTTAGTGATCAAAAAACCTATGGAACGAGCGCGCGCTCGTGGACGTCAGCTTTATCTGTCTGTCCTCTTGTGTACACATCAAAAACATCGTACTTACCATCTCAGGTGGTTTAGGCAGATCTGGTACTGTAAGTAATTCTTTCAAGTCCAATGTATTCAGGCCACAGAGAGCTGATCCTGTCGAAGGGCTCTTCTTTACCACCACGTAAAACAAGGTTAATTGCTTCACGTCTTTGGTAGACTTGGTCACCCTCACATCTTTTATCGCGGAATTATCGTTGCGACCATAAAAATACATTAAAGCGGTATGCTCCTCGACAAAAAGGCTGTTTATTCCAGCTTCCTTATTGCGCCAGGCTTTGAACATAGCTGGAAAACTGTCGAACTCTAGCAGGGTAAATAAAATAAAATCTGTCACTAGCTATCACTGGGATGATAGACACAATTTCAGTACTGCTGTTTGTGCTACTATTATATACTACTACCTTCGCTGTTGTTTGCAGCTACTGCCTACTATATTCCTGCTGCTGCTGCTGTTGTTGTTCTAGTGTTTTTTTCTTACTTGTAGATGCTGATCTACTATGTTTATGTTATGGATGTTGCTGCAGCTACTGCTGCTGTTGTTTGCAGCTGCTGCTCTACTACTCCTGTTGCTGCTGCATGCTGATGCTGTTGTTCTTGTAGCTGCTGATCTACTACGTTTCTGTCATGGATGTCGCTACTACTACTACTACTACTACTACTGCTGCTGCTGTTCTAGCAGCTGCTGCTCTACTACTCCTGCTGCTGCTGCTGTTGCTGTACACGTTGATGTTACTGGTGCTGTTGTTCTTGTAGCTGCTGATCTACTGCTCCTGCTGCTGCTACTGCTGCTGTACACGTTGTTACTGGTGCTGTTGTTCTTGTAGCTGCTGATTTACTATGCTTCTGTTACAGATATTTCTGCTACTGCAACTACTACTGTTGCATGCTTTTTGAAGCTGCTGCTTTATACTACTACCAATATATACTATTCAATACCTTTAATGCTTTTGGCACCCTGTTCCGTAACGTAGTCCTTGACTTTCGTATCATTCGAAATTATCGCGACCTTAAAATGAAAACATTATTGAATTAATTGAAACAATCACATGTAATAGCCCATTGCCTCCAGCTCAATCAAGCAGGGATATATATATAGAGACTTACATTTCTGTTTTTCAACGTGTGGCAGCTTTTTTCTACTGTTGCTATGGTTATTGTGCTGGCAATGGTGGCAGTGAAGAAGGATATGATAACAATCCCCATGATGATCCAAATCATGGCAAACACTCGACCAAGCACAGTACGAGGTGTCTTGTCTCCATACCTTTAGAGAAATCAAACGATTTTGAAAAGGATACTTTACATTTGGATTTCAAATTCAAATTGCGAGTGAGATATAAAATGTTTCCATTTAAAGAGCTAAAATTAATATTAACCAAGCCTTCGAAGCTATACTCATTTAAAATAGATATAGTCATCAAAATACTGGAATACTTTTTGAGTAATTTCAGGTTTAGTACAGATACTACGACTAGCTACTTTTATTTGCCAAAAATTAGTAGAACGTGTCTTTATCAAATGTTAAAGTAACCACCTTAACATTAATACTTTTATTGGTTAGCACTTCATTAGTGGTAGAATTGGCATTAGAAAAAGATGAACATAAAGCCAAAGAAAACAATAATAAGCGTGCAAAGGCACTTGGGATACTAGTACTCACCCCACCGTCGTCATGGAAATAAAAGCCCACCAGAACCCGTCGAAAGTTCCACGAAAGAAAGAACTCGAGAATTCCTGAGCATTTTGGCGCGCTTCCTACAAATAGAAAAGGCGGGATTAAATTTAGGTCCATTATAAATCATACCCTGGTGAAACATGAATAAAAGTTAATCAAGGAGTAGAGCTGGGGTAATAATATAATAAAGACTTTATTTCAACAGGGTAGCCCTTTCAGCAACTAGGCTGATATCCATAGGGGCCCTGCATATAAAACAATAAACTAATTACAAACTATAAAAATATATACTTCACTATATACAAACTAATTCTATGATAAAATCTGAAAAAATCCTAACTAATTTTTATATCAAATTTAAATTTAAGAATAACATGTACCTAGAAAAAAAAAACTATATATGTTATATGTCTAAAAAAAATTACTAAAAAAATTATTAAATTATTCAGTAAAAGAACATTCATGACGCTTCTATTGAGTCAACAAGAAAAGGCTTTCGTCAAAGGGTTTGACCTCCAAAAGACTTATGTTTTTTACTGATGACCCTCCTTTCTGAAGCCCCACCCCTCCCCTCTGAAGCCCGATCCCTCCCCTCTAAAGCCCGACCCCTCCCCCCACCTTCTCCTACTCATAGTTAATAGAGGGGAATGGTTAGGAAAAATATTGTTATTAGGTCTTTGTTCGCTTTTGTTGTTGAACCGGTCTTGACCGTGCACAATGTTTGATTTATGCTCATCCGAAATTAGAAAATAAATAAACATAAACTTTGTCTATGGGATTGTTGTAAGGAATATTCAAATATCTCTTATAAATCTTTAAGTATTTTGAACTAGCAGCCAAAAGAAAGATTTTGGTCTGTTCACTCAGCCATTGCCAACAATGGTAAAACAAGCAATGGTAAAACAAAGGATTGTGCACGGTTAAGCTTGAAAAAAGTGAACAAAGACCTATAACAATAGGGTTTCCTAACCATTCCCCTCTGTTAACTATGTCCTACTGCTAGGGCTCTTTTTTCTAATGACCTTATACCCAAAGACACCCTACTTTCATGCAAAAGGCTTTTAACTGAGTGTAGTTTCTTACCAATACCCACAAGATGACGCCAGCAATGGCAGCCAATAAAAACACGATGGGCAAGATAGGCGACTGTTTACGAATGATCTGGAATATTTCATAGCTGAGATCTTCTCGACACCTCCCGATATCCACCATCATTATCAAATTACTTTGCTTTTGGCTCGCGATGACTTGTACTGTGCTGTCATTGTGATAGTATTGGCTGACAAATCAAAGTAAATAGTCTAGATAAGACCGGGAGAGTTGCGGAGTCTGAAAGTGGAACTGAGCTGCGTGGAGGTATGTTTGCCAAAGAATCGTGAACAGAGGCTTTGCACCATCACGTGATGGCAGTCATGACAGGAGGCACAACAATAGAGTCGTTCTCCCTTGAGAAACTGAATTCTTTCTCATGTAAATCAGATTAGACCAGATTCAATTGTTCCTGCCTCCTGTCATGGCTGCCATCACGTGATGGTGCAAAGCCTCTATAGTCCCATTCACAGTTCCCTGTGCCATCTTGAAAGAAGCGAGGCGATGGATAGAGACATTTTTAACACCTTGAACAATGATTCACATGTATCTATCATTACAATACAAAGGCATGGATACCTTCCCGATGACGCATGGAACTGTGAAGGGGATAATTGTACAGCGTTTTTGGGGGTTAACCAGGGGTGTCGCCTATATTATGCTGAACGTCTTCTTAAGGAACTGGTCATTATTTATCAAGAGGGGAGGCTGGTGCAATATTAAATATGCTATGCTTGATTTTTGCTGACCCCCCATCTCCTATAAGCATGATTTTTACTGATTTTTGCTTAAGGTATTAGGATACGTTTACGACCACTATGCGCGCAAACTTAAATAACGCGCTGGCTTTATAGTATAACACAAACAAAGTATACATTTTCTGAAAGCTGAGTAAACATAGTTTATGAAGACATCTTCGAAATACGATTTTTTTAAATTGTTGTTCACATTATTGTCCTCGAAGCGAAATTTGACCATGCCTCAGTGAAAACGTTAACGGACACGTACATTTTAAGCTATGTTTGCGAAAAATGTCTTAACATACTCAGGAGATAATAAGCTCAAAAAGGGTGTCCCAGTTTTAGTGGCAAAAAAGATTCGAGAAAAAAGAATTTCTTAGTTTGGAGCCGGAAGCTGCAGGGAGCCACGATGGCGTTGGTCAAAACACCTTGAGCCTTCCATTTTGTCATCACTTGTCAAATTATCTGTTGTTCTGGACGATCGCAATGTAGGATCTTTTTACAAGGACAAAGGAGCATTTGGACTCAACGTTATTGCAAGCGACGGGACATTTCCGGTCTTGATAAAGTCACGATTTTTATTTGTCTCAAAATTTTGGCTTTTCCAATCAAAAATTGCAAGAAGTTTCACAAACATATGAAAGACAAAAATTTAAAGTTACGAAATTTCAAAAAAAAAAAAAATCCTAATACCTTAAACCCACACATAAAAAATGCTGACCCACCCCCTATTTGCACCAGCCCCTCCCCCCTCTCGATAAATAATGATCAGCCCCTAAAACAAGAACAGATTCACTGGGGATTAGGTAGCCGGCCACAACACATTGGAGTTTTAAATAATTAAGAAAGGAGAAAAACCTAAAAAAGGATGCTATGTGATGCCTTTCTAGGCATAACAGTCACCATTTTTGAAACCGTTCTGCATCCCCTCCCCCC